GGAGACTATTTGTCTTCTGCTTGCTACAAAATCAAATACCCCGAGAACTTTTTTCTTCTTAGAGGAAACCACGAATGTGCTTCTATTAACAGAATCTATGGATTCTATGATGAATGTAAACGTCGATTCAGTGTGAGACTCTGGAAAGTGTTTACAGATTCTTTTAACTGTCTCCCCGTCGCTGCTGTTATAGATGATAAGATATTATGTATGCACGGTGGGCTTTCTCCCGATTTGACCAATGTGGAAGAGATTAAGAACATTAAGCGACCTACCGATGTTCCAGACTCTGGTTTGCTCTGTGATCTGCTTTGGTCTGATCCAAGCAAAGATGTCAAAGGTTGGGGGATGAATGATCGTGGAGTCTCTTACACGTTTGGGCCTGACAAAGTCGCCGAATTTCTAATAAAGAATGATATGGACCTCATCTGCCGTGCCCACCAGGTTCGTTTACACACTGTTCATTGTTCTAGTTACTAAAAATGTCAAGGAATTTCTAAAAAAATCTGTTGTGTTTTTCTTTTTCCCAAAGGTTGTAGAGGATGGGTATGAGTTTTTCGCCGATAGACAGCTTGTTACGATATTTTCTGCTCCCAACTACTGCGGTGAATTTGACAATGCTGGTGCTATGATGAGTGTTGATGAAAGTTTAATGTGCTCTTTCCAAATTCTTAAGCCTGCTGATCGAAGGCCCCGGTTCTTATGAAGTAAAGAGGTAGTTCAAGTCTTATATACTAACTTATGATGAGTGTTCAGATTGCAATAAAAGTTCATCTGAAAGAACCGATATGCATTTCTTCTCAAATGACTTAGATTATGACATTAGTTCATCTTTTGCATACAGAAAATTAATTGATTAAAACAGAAGTAGTTGTGTTTTGTGTGCTAAAGTTTTGATTTTTGTGAATATGAGCTCAGATCTTGGATCTCAGATTCAATCACTTATATAAAATTCGTCATTTTTGCATGTTCAAGTTAAACTTCGCGGGAAAGAAGAGGAAAAAGCCGATCCGAAAGCGGGAGAGACATTCCGAGCTCCCTGAGACTTGTTCCGGAGGCCTTGCAAAGGCAAAATTTAGACATGAGTTACATGTTATATCATCTTATTTGAACTCTTGCCATTTCTTTTCTCAAAGCACTTTATGTTCTTATGATCTTCTTCTTCTCTGACTCTATATAGACAGTAAAAAAAAGTCTGCAAATTTTCATTCTTTTCAACAACCAATTTCCTCAGTGCACATACTATATTATTCTGTATCCACACTACACACACATACACTCTAGGGAATCTTCGGTTTCATGGATTCGTCACCACTCAAAGCCTCAGATCCTTTGCTTAGTTGGGGTCGTCGCTGCAAATTACTTGACAATTGGAGAGATTCTGCGAAAAAGCGAATACAAGTTGACTAAAAGGTCAAAGCCCTGGTTCTATATGAAACTGTCAAACTTTGGACGTGCATGGATCTAAAAGCCTGTCACTTTGCTTTCCTGGATTTAGGGTTTTAAAACCAGCTGTGAGGTTTATGCAATGTGGCAATGTCACTGCAATGTGTAGTGTAGAGTCTCGAGTCCTCTGTTTATTTATAAAACCCGTTTTTTAACTTGCTATTCACAACAACAAGAAGAAGAAAAATGAAGTCTTTTGTAGCTACTTTTGCTCTCGCAGTGTTGGTAACACAAGGAAGCATTTTTAGTTTGTGTTTGGCCTCTTCTTCTTCTACAAACTCCTTTTCTAATTGGTTTCATCATTGGCCGCCGTTTAAATGGCGACCAAAATTTCCATATTCTCCACCTACACCTCCGCCAACTACGTATCCTCCACCAGAACAATATCCACCGCCGATCAAGAAGTATCCTCCGCCAGAACAATATCCACCGCCGATCAAGAAGTATCCTCCGCCAGAACAATATCCACCGCCGATCAAGAAGTACCCACCGTCGCCGTACGAGACTTACCCTCATCCACCGCCGATCAAAACTTACCCTCATCCGCCGGTGAAGTATCCTCCGCCGATCAAAACTTACCCTCATCCGCCGGTGAAGTATCCTCCGCCGATCAAAACTTACCCTCATCCGCCGGTGAAATATCCTCCGCCGATCAAAACTTACCCTCATCCGCCGGTGAAGTATCCTCCCCCAGAACAGTATCCACCGCCGATCAAGAAGTATCCACCGCCGACTTACCCTCATCCACCGGTGAAGTATCCACCGCCGATCAAGACTTACCCTCATCCGCCGGTGAAGTATCCACCACCTCCGTACAAGACTTACCCTCATCCGCCGATCAAGACGTATCCTCCTCCGAAGGAATGTCCTCCTCCGCCGGTACATTACCCTTTTCCCCCGATCAAGAAATATCCTCCACCGGTTGTGTATCCGTCGCCACCATATAAGAAGTATCCACCGCCATCATATCACTTAACAC